TAGTTAGTTGCTTCACTTACAGGAGTTTCTCTTGTTGTATAGGTTAATCCCCTTATTTGTGCAATTCACAAAAGAGATGTTTTCTTTTCAGGGCTATATATGAATTGCTTCTGAGATTGCTTTAGTGTGTGTTCAGTTGTCCCTTTTAAAATCTTCTGAATGGCATCAGTTTTACAGGCTGTTGTCTTGCAATATTTTCTTTGAATCCTCAAATGCCAAGTGACAACCACATGAAATAACTTTAAAATAACCCACTAGTCTATATTAAATTGTGCAAACACTGATTTTTACATAGGAGAATTTCTATTGGAGAGTGTGGAACAGATTACATGTGTTGGAAATAGTTCTTTTGAAAATTATGGAATAAGATTACTCTTAAAATTAAGTGCTAGCCGTTTGCATATTGAGTTCCTATTTTGTGCCCTGTGTGTGTGCATATTTAAAATTTGCTCTCTGAAAAGTTCCATAATAGACAAGTACATGTAAGTACTAGAATTTTTTACTAGCTGCTTGGTAGAAAGCTAGAATACTTATTTATTATCAATTTTTTCAACCAGGGAGAAATGAAATGGTTATTGTCAGCACATGATTTAATGAGTAAAATGGAATGGTTTCCTTATTTATCATTAACAGCCTACTATTTCCACATGGAGAAACTAGATGATATGGTTTATTTACCTTTTAAAAAATGAACAAATTGGTAAATTTTTATTTATATGCAAGTGATAACCCAACTAACAACTTTAGTAAGTTTCTGCTCTTCCTTGAGTAGTTCCTTGATGGAATCTAATGTTATGATGCTTGTTGTCATGAGTGATGTCTCCTTTGTGACTTTTTTTTATGTAAAACTTTTCTTGTAGTCCAGCACAATAGATAAATATCTAGAGCAGGCATCATGGAATCTGTGTTGTGAGCTCATTCAGAAGTTAAATTTGGCATATTTTGTACTTCATGGAAAAAATTGACTTGATACAGAATTATTTTGGAGAGTTTGATTTGCATCTCTCTAATGTGACATAATAGTTTTACATTTTTGTTGCAGAATTGTCCATAAGATTGTCGCCTTATAGTCTGAAACTTGTTGAAGTTTGAAACTGCAAAGTTGCCAATGTATCACACTCTTATGAAGTACTGTGTATGTGTGTGACATCCACTTAAGTCAGGAGGAGTTGAGGACACTTGGCACTGCCTAGGATTTGTCTCTTGATTTATTTTATTATGAATAAGAGAGTGAATCAGTCATCATTCTTTCCATATATATTTGATTTGTAGTAGTTCATTTAATTGTGAAATGGGCTGAAACACCATTCACTTTACAAATGCTTATACACCTCTGTTCTTTCAGAAACCATTGCTGCTCCAGTGATTACTCAATTCTATCCTTTTAAAGCAAACCCAGTATGCTACAAATCCTTCCATTTACAAATC